CTTGCCAATCTTAGTATCTTGTCTTTGTCTGTGGTTTTGGTCAGTCTGACTATAATGTGTCTTGGAGAAGATCTTGTTGGGTTGATTCTATTTGGGGTTCTTTATATTTCTTAGGACTAAATCTTTGAATGCCTCTCTGAGTTTGGAAGGTTTTCTTGCAGGATTTCATGAAATAGATTACCAGTGCCCTTATGAGTCTCTTCACCTTCTGGGATGCCTATTACCTGGATGTTTGGACGTTTGATGTTATCTAGTATTTCTCGTATATTATTCTCAAAATTTTTGGCAATTTTCTCAGTTTTCGTGGTGGATTTTCCTAGGCCAGCAATTTTCTCTTCTACATCTGAGATTCTATTTTCTGTATGATCTAGTCTGCTTTTAATACTTTCAAGGGAGATTTTGATTTCCTGTATCATAGCCTTCTTCTCTACCAGTTCCATCTGATTTTTTTGTAAAGTGTGAAATTCCTCTTTTAGATCTTGTAAGGATTTCCTCACCTCATGGAACTCGTCAACTCCTTTCTCCTTCCTCTTCTGTAGTTCATTGTCTCTCTTCTCTTCCATTTCTGTTAACTTTGCCATTATGAATGTTCTAAATTTTTTATCAGACATTTCCATGATTTCCATTGAACTGTGTGTGGATGAAGAGGAGTTAACCTCTTTCCTTGGAGGAGAGTTATTTCCCTGCATTCCCATATTTCTTGTGGTCCTGCAGTGATTTCTAGTCATCTGGTGGATGGTCGGTTTCTTCCCAAACTTGTATTTTCAATCTGAGTGTCGAGGAGCATGCAATAAAGGAAACAGAGAAAGAGAAACAACAGCAGCAACATTAACAACAACAGCAACAAACAAGAAACAAAGAGAAGAAAAAATGAAAAGAAAAACTTTTAAATAAAACTAAGAAAAATAATATTTAAAATAGTTTTAGTAAAACCCCAAAATCAGAAAACCACGTGGAGCACAAGCATGCCATGGGAGATGGCTCGATTGCAGGAGCCATGAAGGATTCTCTTCAAGGATGCCTGTTCCCTTTTGCTTCTCCTGGGTTGGGAGGGGGAGAGGGAATTATTAACAAGATAAAGGGATAGGAGGGGCCAGAAAGCCCAGAAAATGCCTCACCTTAAAAAATTCTAAAAAGCAAAAATTAAAAAAAGAGAGAAGACAGAGACAGAGACAGAGGTAGACAGAGACTAAGATAGTTACAGAGACAAGAGGCCTGAAAGGGGTCTACCTACTATACAAGTTTTGTGTGCTGGAGGTTGAATTATCAGCGGGACATCTTCATCTCTCTGTTTCACCCAAAATGGCTAGACTGCAGGAGCCATGAAGGTGTCTCTTCAAGAAGGCCTGTTCCCTTTTGCCTCTTCTGCGTTGGGAGGGGGAGAGGGAATTATTAACAAGATAAAGGGATAGGAGGGGTCAGCAAGCCCAGAAAATTCTTCACCTTTAAAAATTCTAAAAAGCAAAAATTGAAAAAAAAAGACAGAGACAGAGACAGAGGTAGAGAGAGACAAAGACAGATACAGAGACAGGAGGCTGGAAAGGGGTCTTCCTACCACACGAGTTTTGTGTGCTAGAGGCCGAATTATCAGGGGGAAATCTTTTTTTTTTTCTTTTTGGAGAGGATTTTGCTATAGGGCGCATCCGCTCACCAGACAAACAGAAAGAGACAGAGAGACAGAAAGCGAGAAATCACCCCCTAGGGGGGATGGCCATGCTGCAATCCTCTCTCCTCCATTCTCCTCTCGGGATCCTGGGAATGAATGCACACACGCCCGGCATGAGATTTTTAAGCCACCGGGTCTGGGACGCGAACTTTGGTTGACTACATGGGAGTCCTGCGACTTAGCCATTACACCAACTGCTGGTCCCAGAAATCTTCATCTCTCTGTTTCCCCCAAAATGGCTAGACCGCAGGATCCATGAAGGTGTTTCTTCAAGAAGGCTGGTTCCCTTTTGTCTCTCCACGTGAGTTTTGTGTGCTGGAGGCCATATTATCAGTGGGAAATCTTTGTCTCTCTGTTTCTCCCAAAATGGCTAAATTGCAGGAGCCATGAAGGTGTCTCTTCAAGAAGGCCTGTCTGTTCCCCCTATTTCTCACCCTCTGCCATTTCCCACCCTCTTCCCTCACTATCACTGATGTATACAGTTCTTTTCCATTCCTTTTTCTCCCCACATTTTATTGATTCACACAATATTTTAAGTAATCTAACTACTTTTAATAGCAAGTTCAGCTGATATATACATATCTGTGAATACATGTCTGACTTTAAATGTGAAACTCTGAGTAGAATGAATATACTATAAAGTAGCAACTAACTGATGCTACTACATAGCTTACTGCAGTCATTAACTAGGTATTTTTACATATAGTTTTTAATTTTAAGAAAAGCAGTTTTAGCTTTAATAAATCAAAATCAAAGAAATGCTGAGAGTTTTGCTTAAAACTTAAAGCCAGGAAACAGGTTAGGGTTTGTTCATATAGTAGGTACATGAACCTATAAGCAGCTCAAGACAAGACCAAAATTCTTAAATCCAGAAAACAAAATCAGTAATGCTTTAGTCAAAATTCAAAAGGTTCTAGACGCAGACAAGAAGCCATTATAATGCTGAATTGTGTCCTGGCATGTTCAGGGAAGCTATGCTCTAAAGTGTTAGGCTGGAGGCCTGGGCAGCTTGGATGTGGAGGCTGGTTGCCACACTACAGTCAACTGATGCAACCCAGATCTAATCTGTCATCAGACCTGTGCTGAACTCGGATCTAACCCAGATGTAGCACATGTGCTCTACTCTGCACATGTGTTCTACTCTGCACATGTGCTCTACTGTGCACACAGGACTCTACTTTGTACATGTCACCAGAGGTTACTTGGCACACTAGTCTGCTCTCCCCTTAAACCGTTACCATACATGGACTGTTTCTACCTCTAAGACACTCCCCCTCCCTGTACCCTTATAAAAATAGCTAAACCCTGCCCTAGCACATGACTTCTCTGGCCCACCTCTTCTTCTCTTTTTCGGTCAGGTCATTGAAACTTGCCCAGGAGCGCTCCCAATAAAGGCTCTACATTTCTATTTTCTTGCGTGGTCAGTCCATTGCTTGCATTTGGCATAAAACCCAGGAGTTTTGTGTCCCACAGTCCCTACGAGGGCCTTTCCCCTCCTGAACCAGGAACCGAACCCCCAACCGCCAACTAAGCACCTGCCCTGGCCTTCTGAGGGTAATTTCACCTGCTTATAGTTTCCAGGACTCAAACCTCCGGGTTCCCTGTCCAAAAAACATGGCCACATCAGAGTCCTCTCTGGCTCCTAGAGCTCAGGGGTTTGTGGAGACGTCCCAATTCCCTGTTGTCCATCCCCTGTTCTGTTCCATGAGCACATAAAGAGACTTAGGTTGCCTTTCCCTTTTCTGCTCACTTGAGTTCCTCACACAATGGATAATACTGAGTCCCTCACTGAGCCAAAGACACCCCTGGGCTGACTGCTCTGTAACTTCAACAAATTATGACTCACTCAGGATCTCCGCCTCAAGTGGCTGATATTTTATTCTACTGTGGCCTGGCCACAATATGCTTTAGACAATGGGTCTAAATGGCCTCCTGAGGGGACTTTTGATTATAATACCCTCACTGATTTGGATAACTTTTGCTGAAGAGTAGGCAAAAGTTGGAGGTTCCATATGTCCACGCTTTTTGGGATCTGCACTCCCACTCCTTCCTCTGCACCTCCTGCACTACCACCCATCCTTTTCATAACCAGAACCCCACAGTCTAAGACCAAATCTCTCTTAGAGGCTAATCTCCCTCCTATAGATGTACCACCCAAAACTCTTACCTCCCCTCCTTCCTGTCCCCCAGCAGCATCCCCCCCCACCCCCTGGTCCCACTTTGGGTGCCGCCAGTCCCAGCCTCCCCACCACTCCCCTGCCTTCAACAGCACCACCTCCTTCTCCTCCATGTCCTTCACTCCCATCCCCTCCTCATTCATCTCCAGTTAGTTCACATACCTGCTCACACTCTCACCCTTCTCCCACCCCTTCCCCCAGTTCTAACCTTCTCTGTCCTCTCAGGGAAGTGGCAGGAATGGAGAGTATCATCAGGGTTCATGTTCCCTTCTCTCTCCAAGATCTACCTCAAATAGAAAAAAGTCTCAATTCTTTCTCTGCTAACCCCACGGCTTTTTTCAAAGGTTTCTGCCATCTGACTCAGGCCTATAATCTTACTTGGCATGACCTCTATGTAATCCTGTCCTTTACCCTTACTGCGGATGAGAGAGAGCGAGTCCAGGCTGCAGCTCAAGAACATGCTGACCAAGCCCACCTTGTCAACTCGACTCTTCCAGTTGGAAGAGTGGCTGGGTTTTTTACTAACCCTCAATGAGACTATCAGGTAGGAGACTCTGACCCAAAAAAATGAGACTACATGATCCAGTGTCCCCTGGCTGGAATGCAAGCAGTCTCTAACAAAATTGTCAATTTTGACTAACTCCGGGAAATCACCCAGGGGGCAGATGAAAACCCAGCTGTGTTCCTCAATCACCTTACAGAGGCCTTAACTCTTTATACACGATTAGATCCCACTTCATGGGCTGGGGCTACAGTTTTGGCATCTCACTTTATTACGCAGTCAGTGCCCGATATTTGAAAAAAACTTAAATGGGCAGAGGATGGCCCTCAGAGCCTTGTCTCTGATCTGGTGAAAATGACATTTGAAGTTTACAGTGCCCTGGAGGCTGAACATCAAGCCCTCCTTCACCACAAGGTGGCAATCCAAATCCAGGCCCTGGTAGCAGTCCTGAGGCCAGCAGTCCCACATGGGCACAAGAATGGGGCTTCCTCATCTAAGTCTGTTTCCGTGGGGCCATGCTTCAAGTGTGAGAACACAGGTCACTAGGCTTGGCAATGACCTTGCCCCTGACTGTCCACCAAGTCATGTCCTAAGTGCAAACAGCGTGGACATTGGGGAAGTGACTGCCCAATGACTGACTCATCTCTGGCACCTCCACACAGGGGAAAAATCAGCCAAGCGCTCCCCTCTTAGTAGCTGTTGGAGCTAGCCACCGACTGAAGAGGCTTGGACTCGAAGACTCCCATCAACCTCGCTGAGCCTAGGGTAATGCTACACGTAGTAGGTAAGTCTATCTCTTTTGTTGTGGACACTGGGGCTACCTACTCTGTCCTACCCTTCCATTTGGGGACACTTTTTTCTTCTCAGATCTTGGTCATGGGAATAGATGGCACACCTTCCTGTTCACCTAGGACAGCCACCCTAGCCTGGCATATAGAGGAATGACCTTTCTCCCATTCTTTTCTAGTTATGTGGTCATGCCTAGTCCCCCTCCTGGACAGAGACATCCTTCACCAATTGGGAACTACCCTCCAACTTCCAACTGCAGCCCCTGCTTCTCACTTTCTTCTCCCTCTCATCTGCTCATCCATTGACTCTGATCTTTCTGGCCCTCCATCCTTTCCTCTTCCCCTTCCACCCAGACTCCTACTTCCTATTTGCTTTCACCTGGGAGGACCCCAATTCACACTCTGCCCAACAGCTTACCTGGACAATCCTTCCCCGGCACTCCTTCAAAACCAACACTCTTGGGACCAGCAGTTCGCATAATGGCTATGTCGCTGGACTCCCGTGTAGTCAAACGCAGTTTGCATCCATCCCAGACCCGGTGGCTTAAAATTCACGCCGGGCACATGTGTGTATGTGCCCAAGATTCCAAGAGGAGACCGGAGGAGAAGGAATTGCGGCGTAGCCATCCTCCCTCGGGGGTGATTTTTCGCTTTCCATTTCTCTGTCTGTCTGAAGAGTGCACGTGTCCTATGGCAAAAACCTCTCAAAACAAACAAACAAACAAAAAAACCTGACACTCTCTAGACCTACTGATGACAAAAAAAAGGGGATACCTGTCTGTTCCTCAGAGAAGAATGCTGCAACTACATCAACGAGACAGGTATGGCTGAACAAAACATCAATGTTCTCAGTAGTCTAAGTGAAGAACTACAGCACCAGAAGCAACAGCCCACTTCTCTTTTCCCAGACTAGTGACAATCTACCTTCATCACCTGGATTGCTCCTATTTTAGGACCATTAATTCTCATTTGCCTTCTCTCCATGCTTACACCCTCTTTTCTCAGATTCCTCCAAAGTCTAATCCAAGAAGTTTCCCAAGTGGCAGTCAGCCAAATGTTCCTCCATCCCTACACACAAATTCCCACGGAGCCCCTGGCCCCCAACTGCCCCCTTTTGCCTGAAATCAATAGGAAGTAGCTAAAGATCTAATGGTGCCCTAAAACACCAAAACAGTTGGGATGTTAGGCCAGAGGCCTAGGAAGCTTGGATGTAGGAGTGGGATGACCCGCCACAGTCAGCTGATGTAACCCGGATCTAGTGTGTCATCAGACCTGTGCTGCACTTGGATCTAACCTGGATGTAGCACATATGCTCTACTCTGCACATGTGGTCGACTCTGTGCACATCACCAGGTATTACATGATACACTAGTCTCCTCTCCCCTTAAACCTTTACCATATACATGGACTGTTTCTACCTCTGAAACACTCCCCGTCCCTATACCCTTATAAAAATCGCTAACCTCCCCCTAGCACGTGACTTCTCTGGCAAACCTCACCCAGGAGTACTTCCAATAAAGGTTCTACATTTCTATTTTCTCAAGTGGTCAGCCCATTCCTTACATAAACTCTATCTTCTATACTCTTGAAATCCACAGACAAGGTAGGTTGACCTCTGTCCTTTCTCTGTCTCTGTCTGTCTCTCTGTCTGTATCACACACACTCTCTCTCTTTAAATTTTTATTTATTTACTTTTTAATTTTGCAATCACTTTTCCTCACCTCAGACCTTTTCTTTTACTTGTTAATTTCAGAAGCCGTTTTGAAGCTGAAATGTGTCCTGGCGTATTCATGGCATGTTAGTGCACCACGTGGTTTTCATTTTTTACCTTTAAAATAAGTCTTTTCTGGTTGTATTCTTTTTCTTTTTTCACCTTACTTTCCCACTCTGGCCTTCACTCTCCACACATTGAATGTCTCGATAGTCCTAGGTGCAAAGTAGCCAAGCATCTGAATACTTTTAGAGTCATTGAAATCCTCAATGTGTATTAAACCTCCTGCTTTAAGGAAGAAATTTCTTTTTATAAGTCTGAACTCATAATCTGTTTTTTTGGATACCATATAGCAAAGCACAGTGGATGAGAGATTCTGTCACAGAATGACCAGAAACCACCACAGAGGCACAAGAAATATGAGAAAACAAAAAAAGATTCTCTCCCCCAAGAGAAAAGGACAATTCTTCATTATCCTCAGAAAGTTTTGTAGTACTGGTTGAAATGTCTGATAGAGAATTCAGAATATTCATAGTGACAAAACTAAATGAGATGGGGACCAGCAGTTAGCATATGACTATGTCGCTGGACTCCCATGTAGTCGACCGCGATTTGAGTCCCAGACCCAGTGGCTTAAACACATGCTGGGCACGTGTGCGTGCATGTCCAGGATCCTGAGAGAAGAATGGAGGAGAAGGGATTGCGGCGTGGCCATCCCCCTGAGGGGTGCTTTCTCGCTTTCTGTCTCTCTGTCTCACTCTGTCTTTCTGGCGAGCACACGTGCCCTATAGCAAAAACCTCTCCAAAAAAAGAAAAAAAAAAACTAAATGAGATGCAAGAGCTGAGAGACAATGAACTCCAGAAGATGTAGGAGGAAAGAGACAACAAGTTCCAGGAGCTGAGGATGTGTTTGCATGATCTGGAAGAGGAAGTACACACAATAAAAATAATCAAATGGAGCTATTATAGACAAAGGCTGCCATTCAGAAAATCAGAACCTCCCTTGAAAGTATTAAAAGCAGATTAGTCTATGCAGAAGATCAAATCTTTTTTTTTTTCTTGAGAGGTTTTTGCTATAGGGCACGTGCGCTCGCCAGACTGACAGACAGAGACATAGAGACAGAAAGCGAGAAATTATCCCCCAGGGGGGATGGCCATGCCACAATCCCTTCTCCTCCATTCTCCTCTTGGGATCTTGGGCACGCACGGACATTTTTCTGGAATGTTGAAGGCAAAACCTCTGATCTAGAAAAAGTAACACAAAAAAACTGAGAAAATAACCCAAAAAAGGAAGAATACTATACAAGAAATACTAGACACCATTAAACACCAAAACATTCAGATAATCGGTATCCCAGAAGGTGAAGAAACTAATAAGAACATTGATAATCTATTCCATAAAATCCTGGAAGAAAACTTTCCAAATCTAGAGAGGGATTCAAATACCCAGACCCCAGAAATACAAAGGACCCCTAATAGAATCAACCCAAGAAGATATTCTCCAAGACACATCTTAGCCAGACTGGCCATATCCACAGACAAAGACAAGATACTAAAATTGGCAAGAGAGAAACAGGTTATCCCATCTTATAAAGGTTACTCCTTCAGGTTAACATCAGACCTCTCACCAGATACAATGTGAACAAGGCAAGAATGGGAAAATACATTCAAAGTGTTAAGTGAAAAACAATTTCAAACAAGAATACTTTACCTAGGAAGATTATCTTTCATATAGAAAGAAAGAATAAAAGCATTCTCAGATAAAAAAAACCTGAAAGAATTTGCCAACGGCAAACTCACTCTTCAAGAAGTTCTGAAGGGAGTACTCTATCAGGAAAACTAAAGACACACATACAGAAAAGAGAATAAAAAGAAACCAAGAAAATGACCAACTTAAGCTAGGCACAAGAAATGTCAATAATAATGTTGAATGTTAACTTCCAGGATTTAAATGGGAAGATTGGGCCACAGTAACACTGCAAATTCAATAGAAGAGAGATTGAAGGTAAGACTGAACTAGTGAAATATAATTTTTTAGAAAAGTTACTTATTTATTTTTTCATTTATTTTAATTTGACCAGAGAGAGAGACACAGAGAAAGAGGGAGAGGGAAAGTAAGAAAGGAAGTCACTAGGTCCAGGAGTCACATTGCAGTTGGCCATGTGGTTGGCCAGCTTCTTAACAACCACACCACCTGCTGGTCCCCTGTTGAATAGAATTTTATAACTTTTAAGTAAAACATTACTAATTTTCTTTACAATGCTTTGTTTTCCCAATTTAAGGATTTTGCTTTCTTTTGAGCTGTTGATAGTTTCAGCAATTTGTTAAAATATTTTTTCTTCCTGTTTGTTTCTTTAAATGGAAACATAAACTTTTCTTCCTTTCAGACCCCTCTGGAATTGGAAAATATTCAGGAATATAATTATTTTGTGGCAGAAGGGTTATTTGCATAAGTTCAATAATGCTTGTTGCATTGAATTAGAAATTGCAAATACTCATTACTGGACAGGGCTTTGACTGGAATGTCATATCTGAAGAATAAT